CTTTTTGAGAAGAAAGAAGAGAAAATAATGATATGGAACCTTAAGGTTTGCTATTGCTTACCGGGGGTAAGTGCTGCACAAAGTGTCAGATATAGATGCAAAAGAAAAGAAGATGCATTAATCTTGACAAGATGTGCGAGGCATATAAACTTTTTTTACGCACGGGAGCTGCGCCCGGCTTTGTACAAGGGGTTACATGCAACGGCGGCAAGGCTTGTACAAAAGGTGGTTGCCGGAACGGGGCCCGGCAACCGCGCCTTACGGGTAAAACTTGCGAAGATGTTCTATGTTCCAGGAGTTGCTCACCGGAATGCCATCTTCGGTCTCAAGGCGGACAACGCCGGGCCTAGTGACTCGTTTTACCCGATAAGGGCCTTTCCACTTCGGCGTCAACTTGTTGGAATTCTTGGCGGATTGAACACGCCGAAGAACAAGGTCGCCTTCCTCGAAGCTTCTGGCATTAACTTTGCGGCTATGGTAGCGGCGCAAAGCTTGCTGGTAGCGAGCAGCTCACTCTGGGATATTGGAGGGAAACCAAACAAAGCGGTGACATTTCTTCTTGTTCGTGCTAATCAAGGACCAACTAGATTTGACACATGGCCGAACCGAGCTTCAGCGCATGACATGAACCAGGTGACTGTGTCTCGTTGGCTTCCTCTTGGCCGGGAAGAGACAGAGTATTATCTTTTTCACAATGCCATTGCAAGCGAATGCACATTGACCGCAACAATTCAATCCTCTTGGCCGGGAAGAGACAGAGTATTATCTTTTTGACAAACATGTTTACTTGTGTGTAACAATGTCATCGCAAGGGTCAGAAACATGATCAGAACAATTCAAGGAGTAACCAAGAAACATTGGGGCACTGTTTTTCTTGCTTTAGAGCCGAGAAGGGCTTGAAACATCTGCTCTCCAGTATTCCATAGTTCATAATTTGCCTTTTCGATTATTCATTTTGTACAAATCCACTAATGAAGGAGGGGGTTTTATATAGTATAAAGGCACGGAACTGAAAAAATCCTAGCATCACACATCAATGAAAATGAAACCTTTCTCCTGCAAATATGTCGAAATGAACTTCAAAGAGTAACAAAGATGTCGCAAAGAGAAGTACAATTTTTTTTTTTTGAGAGAGGCAAAGAGAAGTATATTTGGGGTCTGCACAATAGTCCCCAACCCAGTGTGATCCCTGTTACCTTTTCAGTTTCACTCTTGTAGTGTAATAGCAATGTTGCCACAAGTCCCCCAATGCCTGACCACCACACTGGGCATAAACAAGATAGTTTGTAACTGATCACATGTAAAAAAAATCACCAAACTAATACTTTGCTTCTTCTTTTCCCTGAGCAATCAATCAACACTACATGCTATATCAAAATTTGAATGGTATACAATATAGTCCTGCAACCTAATCATCCACAGAAAACAACATTCTTTGAGCATGTATGAGTACAGGTGAGCCTTGCTTAGTTCTCTCTACAATCTGTTGGATGAGCACTATCGTGGTCATCCTCGTCGCCCGACTCGTCTCCATCGCTCTCTTGAGCTCTGTTAGGGTCCCCGCTCTTCACAGCCTGCTCCCAAGCGCTGTCCTCTTTCAGCTCCGTAGCGCTCTCATCTTCCAAGCCCCAGATCAAGCTGCGGTCCACTGAGTAATCTTCATTTACCTGAGGCCTCCCGTTTGTACTTGTGGTGCAAGGGGAGTCAGCAATTCTCATGAATTCTTCATAGGCTTCATCGTAGGCTTCTAGTGCGTCTCCAGCTAGATTTAGACAGAAAGGTTCGGCGGAGGAGCTAGTTTCTTGTATAAACAATGGACTATCCTGGTTGGAAGAAGAACCTGAATCACTGTTTAAGCACGTCTGTTCGGAGAAGACTCGCTCTCTCGCCATCATGTGCAGTTGCGCCTGCTTCTGGCTCTGAGCTAGTGCTGTCTCAAGCTCCTTGATTCGCTCTTCCAGCCTATGCTGGATCACCTTGTGGAGACGGAGACTGAGATCTCTAGGTGAGACAGGATAGTTTGTCTCATGTGTGTAATCTGGGGAGCTTTGTCTGCTGTCCCTGCCATGGTCACTATCACTGCTGTAATCAGCAATGTCACGACGAATCATGTCGCTCTTCAGTTCCCCCTGAACAATATCTTCAATGAACTCCTGATCGATCTAGAAATGTGGAATTCTATTTAGTGTGCTTGTAGGCTGTAGCGTAATTAAGATGTCATGTATAACATTTTGATATGAGATTGTTACCTCAATCAAGTCAAACGGTTCTTCTTCCAAGTGGTTTGAAGTGATATTTAACTCCAGCCTCGCAAGCTCGGCTTCAAGTTCTGCTTCAATTTTGCTCATTGATATTGAATCAGGGGTGTGAGCTTTGATATTGCCATCTGTTATCAGGAGTGGAAAATAAAAAGGATCACAAACTTTTTAGTACAAGTATGTAAAGATGATTTTGTTCGACAGTTGTTGATTTACCATCTAGTTCACCAGACGTCTCATTAGGCAGTTCCTTCACAGTTAACCCCTCTTTCATCTCCAGCTCATCTTGCAAATCCTGAACCAAGTTCTCCATTCACTTCAGTGTGCCGTTCAACGAATCAAGATCTTTTTTGCTTGATAGAGAGGAAGATAAAATACCAATGCCAACCCCACTGGAGAACATGAGCATTCGTTCAAGTAAACCTGCAGATCAAATGTATGTATTTAGGATTTGAATGCTTCAAGTGGGGGGAAACCCCAAAACAACAACTCAGTATGAAGCATAACATTTGTAGCAAAACATCAGCATCCAAAATAGCCTACTTAATAGGTATTATAACATTTTTTACAACCATTAGCAAGAGATAAGAGAAAGAAGCAACCAGGAAACATGAATGTTGTTCAAGCACAATTTGTCCTGAAATGATAAATCAGTCTAGCCCTGTTGAAATAGTACGGATAGATCTTACAAAAATTCTTCATCGTTTAACAGCTCTAATGACCCAAGCAAGCAAAAAGCAGTCGCACAGATTGAGCAAATTCTGGGAGATTAGGATAGTCACTCGATATTTCAGGAATGGCAATTGTTTTTCTAACAATACTAAGACTGACTTAAGAAAAATATGTGATAGTTCAACTAGTGTCATCGGGGCAAGGAACAGAGGTTCCACCCATGACGGCGAAATTTCTACTAGTATTAACTGCAAAACGTAATCACACTCTTCATTTGAAAAAAGTTTCACTTGAAAATTACAAATGATGAATTCAGGAGGCATGTCTACTAATACACTATTCATGACTTGCTTTGTTTCAGCGGATTGCATCAAGTGATAGAAAAAAACATGTTGAAACTGCTTCAATTATATTGCAGGAATTGTGGTGTGACGCCAAATTACCTGCTGGTTTTGATGGTTTACTATATCTTTCTGTTTGGGATCCCCTTTTGGATTTACTCAGCTCAGGTAGCGGAGCAATCCCAACAACACTTTCTGGCACTTTTGAGCCATTTCGAGATTCTTCCTTGTCGAACCCAATACCAAAGGGTACAGGCACTGGTTCATAGCGTGATTTACTAATGATTCTTCTCCCATCTGTTACAATGAATGGCCTAGCAGAAGCTGGGGATGGAACTGGAGCAAATGTGCATTCTTCAAACTCGAAGTTCTCATTGTAAAGTTGTGGAATGTATGAGTTCTCTGTTGCGACAAGTGGATTAATAAAATGCCTCTGAGGTCGTCTGCTCCTAAGAGCACCTCGGCCTCTACCAGGCCCAGAACCAAGACCAGGGCTTCTTGTGGAAACCTCAGTAGTCGAACCATCTCGAAAGCCATCCACCAGATTCTTGCCTCTACCAACTGACCTACTACCACTTGGAACCACCATCTCCTCATTGTTCTTCGTGCTGCTCCTCTTAAAAATCCAAGGCTGCAAGCTCAATATGGATCCAGGATCTCTGACATACTCGCCTGGGCTGACGGACTCAGCACCGGTACTTCCACTGGTGGAAGCAGCAAATTTGGCAGATGAGCCACCAAACCGCGAATGAACGGAGTTTCTCGGGGTATTGCAAGGCACGTTCTCCTCCTCCAAACCGATGTCCCTGCCAACCTGATTAAGGATTATTCTGCGGAACACATCGTTCCCCATTTCTGCATTCTTGTGATTCTTTTGCTTATCCATTGGAAGTCCTGCCTGCAACCTGGTACTAGTTCCTCAGCACAAGGCAAAAGCACAGGCGCCTCCTCATCTCCAGAGCTCGATAGGATCTCCAACCTGTGAAATCATGCATGAATGATGGGCAACGAAATTAGCACAAGAAGATGAGCACAAGGCTGATGCAATATTCATTCGAAACAAACGACGAGTGGAGCGATGCAATCCCCAATTCGTCCGACGCAATTTTTAAACAAAGGCAAAATCCCTCCATAAACAAACGCCCACCCACCGAATCAAATCCCAGGTCACGCGCACAAGACCAGGACCCAACCAAATCTTGGCTGAAAATTCTCCTGTCCCGCGAGTACACCACAGGATTACCTGGGATTCGCCACGCCACGCGACCCGGCCTCCCCTTCTTCCTCTAAAGAAAACCCAGAAACAGCGGGGCAAAAGATCTCCGGAAGAGACGGCCAAGAATCGGCGAGGGCGGGAGCCTTTTCTCACCAAGAAAGGGGGAGGGAGGATAAGGCGCCGGCAGCGGAGTGGCAATGCGGAGGCGGCTGGTCAGGCGCGAGCTAGCGGGAGGGAGGAGAGAGAGCACCACACCACTGGACAGGAGGCATTTGGGATTTGGGATGGGGGAATTTGGGGTTTGGGTTGGGGCTGGGGTTGGTCCGAAAGAGGCAAGAAGAACATCCCAAGAAGCCAAACCACACGAGAGACGAGACAGGAGGAATAAATTACTCTATTCTGTATGGCGATTTGGTTTTAAAAATGGAAATCTATTCATCTATTTCCTCGAATTCCACTGGTTTTTTACTTTTCCAGCTCAGCTCACAGCTCATGACAGAGGGCCAAGGATTGAATTGCCATGATGAATATAATAATTTCTCTATTAAATTCCGATGGAGATGATTTCGCCATATTAAAATAGTATATTAATAACCCCGTAAAAAGGAAATCCTAGCGAACGCCCTCAGCCACGTCGGATCCCACGCACGGAACCTAAAGCATTCGCTCTCACGTACCCTTTTGAGCGAACTATGAAGTTGGCCGCAAATGATTCGCTTATGATGATAATCTGAGCAAACACATTTGGGATGGCAATTTCAATTTTTAGAGCATGGCATTTTTCAGCCTTTTCGGTTGATGTACCAGGGTAATTCCCTTCAGTCAGCATAACGATTTTTTAGTATAGCAATTTCCACTTTAGAACATAGCCAATCCTTTACATCAACACAACAATATTATCTATTTTTTGCATGGTAATTCTGAAGCGTTCACTCGGAGTGGGTTTTTTCAGCGAATGGTAACATATATGACTCCGGTACAAAATCAAGCTATTTAGGGGCAACAATGTATCAATTTTTATTTATGTCGACTTTAAAAAGGTTTCAATCAAAAGGGTTGAAATCTTCTTCGATGTTTATTGTGTCAACGTTAAAAGGGTCAGAATCTTCTAAATTAATGTTGATAACTACTTGATAATTTATTACACGTGAGCATTGAACTTTCTAGTGATGGACGTAGAGATTTGTTCTACACTAATGTCCTGTAGGAATATTAACATACCATGTTGTTATGCTTGCTCCATTTCGCTTGTTTGTTGTTTAGTGTGACTGTCATCTTGCAATATTTGTACCTCAAAAAATAAGAGTAAAATGTTACGAAACTACACTTTTTTATACTATTTAGCAAGGTTTGGCATTGTGAAATTTTATGTAGGTATAAGAAGTGTAATCCTATGAAATGTTATTCTAGATGTTTTTCTAGTTCATGCTACTCTAGATGCTGAATGACCTTCAAATAACTTTTCAATTAGGGTAGAATATTATTCAGTTCTATTAACTATTACCTGAATTTTTCCATATGAGTACATGAAAAGATCAAGGTCCATTTCATCCTAGAGTTGATCTACACCACAAAGAAAATACAGACAGGTTTTGTGTTTGTTTTTTACTTTTCATAAGAAAAACAAAGTTTTTTCCTTCTTGTGACACGTCCCTTTGAAAACTCTTGTCCCTACTACAGTGTCCAAGAATTGGACTTGCTATCTGGGGTACATGCGAAAGGATGCTTGGCCTTTACACCATTCCTAGAAAAGAAGATAGTCTCCAAGTCTTCCTGAATCTCAGCCGTCTAACAGTCTTGATCTGTGATCTAAACTCCTTGATCCCATCACAGAAATAGGCCCACATTTGCTGAAGCTCAATTAGGGTTTTGGGCATCTGCACCTGCACCTTGATGGCTATTAATAAATATGATCCTATATCATGGCATGGAAGTACCCAGCTTTATTATTCAGGGACCAAATTTTATTACTCCTTAGGACCACCTGGTCACACATACCCAGTAAGTTTTCAATACTCCGGTGAACACCTGTGCTAGCAAATTGACAGGATGTGTGGACAGCATGGTGCCAGATTTTTCAACAATTCAGTGAGCATCTGTATCAGGGCCATGCTGTCGATTTTAACGATAAAGTTTTACAGACCTTGAGGAAGAAGAATTTTGTAAACTGCGTTTGTGAAAACGAAGAAGATAACCCAGATATGGCAGAGAATTCAAGAACGAACTACGGCGGAGGTCTCATGGGAAAAGAGAGGCACATCAGATGTTGATTGACGATGGATCCATGGCATTTTGCTGCTAGGAAGAGAATCCTTTGAAAATGCCAGCTGAAATGTCCTTTTTCTGCTAGGTTTTGGCTTTCTTGGACCTTTTTGCTTCTAGCTGGACTTCTCCTTGTCCTCACACAACAATATTGGGTTCTCTCCGGTCCACACAGGATGTACTGTTTGCATCACACAGCTGTAAAAAATAGACAACAATTGCAGGTTTCTGAAGGAATTGCATGCATACATTGCATTTGATTCTTTTCATACAGAAACATCTCAGTGTACTTTTGACCTGGCAGAAATTCATGATTGGTGTCCTCCTTTGGATTTTCTCAGAACAGTGGGAGCCTTGCAATCGTATTATACAACATGCTACACCTATCCAGCAGCAAGCAAGAACAAAATGAATTCCGAATTTCTGTTTCCAAAAGAATGCATTCAGAATTTAGTATAACCCTTGTGCTGTTTTTGTTGAAGCAAAACCATTTATTGACGCGACTACAAAATTATGTACAGTAACTAGCTTGTTCCTCTTGGTCTCCACCCATCGATCGCTTCCCCACCTCTGAAAGTATTGGGCCTTCAGGAAGCCAGTGAAGTCCTGGGGCAGTTGTCGACGGAGCAGGCAAGGACATCTCGGTAGTCGCGCGAGATCGTGAAGTGATCGTACACATTCCCGTCACGGCTCTTCTTGTACTCGAACAACAAGGATGAATGATTGAAAGCCGTGAGCTTGCCGAAACCGTGGTCGAAGTCTCTGAAGTGACTCCATTGGATCTTTGAAGTGGTGAAGTCTGAAAGGCTGGCACCGGCGCCACCAACAACCACATGCGTCGTTGCCTGGAACGGGCCACTGTAGTGATTCGATGCGTTAACAACACACTGGCTCTGCAACAAATCACAGATTGCAATCAGGTTTGTAAGATTGTAATAGGAATGTAAGCCTGAGCCTGCAAAGCTGCAAATTTTGTACTGTAGCATTACCGGCAATTGTACATTATCAGATGCTGCCATAGTAGTATATAAAGGAACTTTAATTTTTGATCGACAAAATTAAACGTTTTGATCTCATGCAAATGCTAGTTAGAGAACACACCTGGTACACTGGACATGTCCTTTCATAATTGTGGACGTGACCGTAGAAGGCGAGATCGACCTTGTACTTCTGCCAGAGCTCTTGCAGCGCTTCTCGCCCCATTGGTTCCTCAAACGTGCCTTCAAATCCGTAGTAAGAGTTGGATGAGTACCCGAGAACACGGTGTGCAAGGAAGATGAGCCATGGCTGCTTCTGCCTGTCAACAGACGACAGGCAGTGCTCGATGAACTTGTACTGCTCGGTCCCTGGCCTCCAATCTTCTTCTGTGTGAGCAATACAAAATCTGAACATGCCATAGTCGGTTGCGTACCTACAGAAGGATATATGTTGTGTCAGAAATTGTTTTTCCTAAGACAAGTAAACTTCAGAACTACTCCCTCCATAAACTAATATAAGAGCGTTTAGATCACTACTTTAGTGATCTAAACGCTCTTATATTAGTTAACAGAGGGAGTACATATGAAGGAATTTGTATTCCCAACTACCACTATTACCAAAATTTTGCACGGTTCTCGGCAGGAGTGTAGAACACAGTTTGTGCAGGAACACCGCATTCTCCACCAGAGTCTAGATTTCCATAGAAGGAACCAGTTCCAGGCCAGTCCCTCTCATGATTACCGCTGCATAAATGCCAGTTCTTTTAGACATTAAGCAATGCATGGCAACATGTCAAAGTTCTTAAACTTTATACTGAACAGACCTGCCAATCATGTATGGCACAGTTGAAGCAATCGGTTCGATCTGTGCAGTGAACTGATCCCACTGCGATAAATAACCATTTGCGTAGCAAATGTCCCCGATGTGGACCACCATGTCGATGTTGTCCAGGTCTCTAATGATCTGGTTAGTAGTGTTTAGCGAGCCTGGCTGGAAGTTATTGTACTCATTGGAACCATCTGCCTCTGCCTGAAGAAACTTGTCAGAAAAGAAGAACCATTGCACTGGCAAAATGCCCAAATTGCTATATGAATCAAACTAGGATAGAGATGGAAGAACATATATCTACCTTCCCCATGTCCCCAAATATGACGACCCGTTGCAAAGAATCTTGTCCAGGATAAGGTGATGCTTTAAAGCTATATGACTTACTCCAGACGCGGGTACCATTCGGTAATCTATGGCCAAGCCTATAGGTGTACCTGCAATGTTGCAGCAACCATGTTTACTGAGTAGCTGGATGGATCCTGATTTCAGAAGGGGTTAAACAGGAAAAAAGATCACATACATCGAGTCTGGCCACAATCCTTCAAGTAACTAGTATGAATGTAACCAGGATGGCGCCAACCAACAGTTCGTGCTGGTGCACCTGCATTTGAATTGTATGCTTGGTAAATGCTGCATGTGATACAATATAGCAGATCCTCATCTCTATTTACATTGTTAAAATCTCAAGTTTAGCCAGCTTATGTTCATCTCAAAGAAAAACAGGGAAACAGAGGCATACTGCATACCGCACATGCTGTTTCTGTCAAATGTCAATGTCCCGGCTGGAGAAAGGAACCGGCGTCCCCCCTTTTCACCCCATTCAACAAAAGGAACTGCTTCTTTGATGTCGTATCCACTTGTCCAAGTGACTGTCATCTACAATGGTACTAATTCAGTCACACTCTTATATTTGTGAATGCATTTACTATCTGGCATGAGTGTAACACATGTTCTTTGTATACAATGTAGGTTCTTGTCAAAAAGATGTTTCACATTTGGTTTGAGAAACAGCACATCCTAATACAGTCTCAGTTGCAGATTGGTAGGCAAAGCTTACTTCGTTCCAAGATTTCCCTTGCGCCAAACGTGGGTAGACGGGTGCCTTTGGGTTCACAAATGTCACCTTGTTTGAGACAGCAATCAGCTTCGGCTGTGACCAAGTTGGTAGAAAAGATTCAGAGTTGAGAAATACGAAGAAATGTTTCTTCAGAATAACAGCGGAGTTGTTGTTCATGCAGACAAGTTCAGAAACTACTACAGTACATTTTTTACCTTCAAGAGACCCCCAGAAAAAAGTGCAAATGAGAAATCTTCTCTCTGGTTGATCAGCTGAAGCTTCAGATAGCCCTTTCCCGACTTACCATATCCATCATTCTTGAACTTTGCAAATTGGTACTGCGATAAAAGAGCATGGAAGCCTCAAGGTTCAGAACGAACGTCTTCCAACAGACTGAATCGCGACATATGTAGTTCTCTCTAAATCTCAGTTGAACGGAACGGGAAAAGAATCGGCCAACCTTGATAGGTGCTGTGCATAGCACCGGAGGATATTGCCTCTTATTCTCAGGCTCACAAATCGCGGCACTGGAAATTTGCAAACAATAAGAGACATAGAACAGCATCAAATCCTATGCTTTGCCATTTCAAGTACGTACATCTGAACTGAATTTTTCTGAACTTGGGACAGAAGAAATCTATCCAAAATATGTCTGAATGCATTGAGTTCATGCTGAATATGTCTGAAAAAACTGTTGTGTTTGTGCTGCAATTGCATAACGTGTAAATGTGGATGATAAGTACTAGCAGAATAGCCAATACTACTGGACTGCTGTTACCTGAAATTGGCAGGAGAGAAGACTCCGATCCAGTCATCACCGGAGGGGTTGGGATGGAAGAAGTCCACCTCTACCCATCCACTGTCCTGGCCCTCCAGTCCAAGAACCGGAGGGGACGCCTTGACGTGCGCCGCGTCGTCGACGGCGAGGGTGGTCCTCTCGACGGCGATCATCGACAGCGGCTGCTCGCCGTGGGCCGCCGCGGCGGTGCAGGCAGCCATCCATGTGACGGCCGCCACCCACGCCCACGGCCTCATGCTCTTCCCACCTTCAGAAGTTCAAGAAAATCCGAACCGAGGAAACAGAAACAAGAACTCGAGGAATGATTCCGCGAAAAGGCGGCGGCTTCAGGGTCTTCTCGGAGTGTGCGATCGAGTGAACCAAGAAAGAAAGGGACGTGGATTTATATCTCCAACAAATAAATCATTGAGGTGTGCTGACACTGGAGACTGCGGGTAGATACGGCAGAATCTCTACTCTTAACGGAGCAGTTGATAGTCTCGCTTCCAGGTTTCTTTTCGTCCCACCTCACTCGGTTTTTTTGGTACTTCTTTGGTACTTCCTCCTACCTCCCACCCGTTTCATTTCGCTGGTTTTTTTCGTTCCTCCCCTACCCCACCGGTTTAGTTTCGCGTCACCCTCTCACACAACGAAAAAAATCTTAACGGATCATAACTTTCCATGCGTCACCCTCCCATCAATGCAATTTGATTTAGGAAACATATAATAAATTTTAAGGAAACAAATAACAGACTTTAAAGAAAAATCCAATTTTAAGGAAACAAATCAATCGATCCATCCAAATCAAACGATCCATCTCATCAATGCAATTTGCTTTAGGAAACATATAACGGATGTGAAGGAAACAAATAATAGACTATCTAAATCAATCGATCCATCCCATCAATGCAATTTGATTTAGGAAACATATAATAAATTTTAAGGAAACAAATAACAGACTTTAAAAAAATCCAATTTTAAGGAAACAAATCAATCGATCCATCCAAATCAAACGATCCATCTCATCAATGCAATTTGCTTTAGGAAACATATAATGGATGTGAAGGAAACAAATAATAGACTATCCAAATCAATCGATCCATCCCATCAATGCAATTTGATTTAGGAAACATATAATAAATTTTAAGAAAACAAATAACAGACTTGAAAGAAAAATCCAATTAACTAATCTCTACTCTTAAAGGCCCCTCGATTGATTTTTGTCCCTCGCTTCCTTTCCCAGCACTTATACAATGGAAGGAATTATAATCCACCTATTTGTTCTCCTATATATCCGTGCAGGCAACACAACATAAACCGGTGAAAAAAACACTCACCTCGCACGTCCCCCTGCCTGCAATCCCGAAACGCCGCCATCGCTCCAGGCTCCAGCCTCCGCCGTCCTACATCTTGCCCCTCTCCAACCTCAGAGACCTCCGCCACCGCCGCCATCTCGGAACCCCAGTTCAGGGCAGGACTCAGAGAGGGTGTGGCTGTGGACGACGCTGCCGCCGTCACAGAACCCTAGGGCAGGGCGTGGTCGCGTTGCGGGCAGCGCGAGCGGCCGTGCGTCTTCCCCGTCAGGCTGTCCTCGGCAGGAACTCGGGACCTCCTCCTGACAGAGCTAAGGCCCTCCGAGGTCCAAGTCGCTGTGCGGCGTGCACAGTAATCTCCCCGGCCTACTCTGTCTTCACGTCAATGCTCATGTGCTCCGACCCTCCCCGACCCCTCCCAGCAAGCAGCAGAGTCTCTCGGGTTCGAGCTCCACCGGGCCGCCGGCGGCGGCGTCCATGTTCGTTGGGCGGAGCACAACGCTAGGTTTGAAATTCACCATGATGCTACTGATGAGGCTCTCCTTCTCCTTTGTTTCGTCTGGGTTTTTTCGTCCCCCCTTCCACCACCCCATCTCGTCTGGGTTTGAAATCAATAAGAGCAGCACAAAGTCTAGGTCCCTGTCTCGGTGGCAGAGGGAAGGAGAAGAAGGATTGATATGTATGAGAATATTAATATTGAACTCTTAAAGTTAATGTGGCCCCGTTGCAACGCACGGGCGTTCTTCTAGTATTCCCAAGAAACCGGATTCGCGAGGGAAATGTGGCACCGGAAACGCACAGTCACAGTCGAAGGAGTCGCACACTTTATCAGTAGGGACGTGTTTGGTAGTCTGCATGAGGCCTGGCTTGGCTCGCGCAGGACAAAAACGGGTTGATTAATTGCCTGCTTTCACTGTGCGGCCTGAATCGCACGAAACTTAAAGCACTCCTGGGCCTGGCTCCATGGGAACACATGAATCGACAGTTTCTCCAGGGCCAGACCCGAGCGGTGCACGCGGGTGGCGGCGTCTGCACGCGCGCGGCCACGCTCGAGAAGCCGCGTTGCTTCCCAAAGCGCCGGCAGTTATTAGCCTCACCGCCCCTCACTGGTCCCTCTCCCCACTCTCCCAACTCTCACCGGCGGCGGCGGATCGGAGCAGAGCAAGAAGACCACCGGACTCCATCGCCGGCGAGCGGATCATCACTTAGCCCGCGACAATGGCGGTAAGCACTTCTCTCTGTTCGACATGCACAACTTTTTCCCGTTCGATTCGGCGATAGATTTGATCCACGACGGAGGGGGGATGGGGAATAGAGGTAGGTAAGCATGTAGAGGTAGTTCATACGAGTCCATAGTACTTCAAACTAGTTCATGCAAGATCGGAATAGAGGTAGATGCGGATGCAGAAGGGGGATTGGGGGATAGGGGGTACACAACGTACACCGGCTCACCGCGGCGGCCGTCACCGGTGGGCGGAGCGGCGGGTCGAGCCACTGGCCTTCATCTTCTTCTTCATCGTCGTGCGGGCCGGCGGGTCGTCATCGTCGTCCTCGGCGGAGTCGAGGTCGATCTGCCAGGTACGACGGCCTGGCTCCGGCGCCCTCGCTGGCATCTGCAGCGCTTCCTCCTCCTCCTTAGGCTACCCACCGATGACCGTCGGCGGCGCGATAGCCGTCTCCCAGTACACTGCGGCACGGCGGTCATTAGGAGCCCAGTAGTTCTTGTACTTACACCACTTCTTCCTCTGTTTAGCATCGTCGGAGACGGCCTGATTCATGGCCCAGCGAATGATGTCAACTGCCATCGCGCCCTTCGCTGGGCCAGGAATCAGCGTCTTCGGCTCTTCTGCAGTGGCCTTCATGAGCACTGCATTAGATTCCTTCTACATGTCAGGCATGGAGCCGAAGTTCGAGCACACCTCCATGGTGTTCTCGAACTTGGTGCAGTCACCACCCGACCATCCTAGGAAGATGACCCTCGAGCCAATACCCCAAGGGAAGGGGTTGGCATTGGAGCTGGAGCTAGAGCTCATGGCGATAGGGAGGAGGAAGGTTGACAGTGAGAGAAGAGAGGGGATGGGTAAATAGTGTTGGGCAGGGTGAGTAAATATAGGGGCGATGGAGAGGAGGAGAGTGACAGTCATGTGATGACACATAAGTATAGGGGATCTATCGTAGTCCTTCCGATAAGTAAGAGTGTCGAACCCAACGAGGAGCAGAAGGAAATGACAAGCGGTTTTCAGTAAGGTATTCTCTGCAAGCACTGAAATTATCGGTAACAGATAGTTTTGTGATAAGGTAATTTGTAACGGGTAACAAGTAACAAAAGTAACAAGGTGTAGCAAAGTGGCCCAATCCTTTTTGTAGCAAAGGACAAGTCTGGACAAACTCTTATATAAAAGAAAGCGCTCCCGAGGACACATGGGAATTATCGTCAAGCTAGTTTTCATCATGCTCATATGATTCGCGTTCTTTACTTTGATAATTTGATATGTGGGTGGACCGGTGCTTGGGTACTGCCCTTCCTTGGACAAGAATCCCGCTTATGATTAACCCCTCTCGCAAGCATCCGCAACTACAAAAGAAGAATTAAGGTAAACCCAACCATAGCATGAAATATATGGATCCAAATCAGCCCCTTACGAAGCAACACATAAACTAGGGTTTAAGCTTCTGTCACTCTAGCAACCCATCATCTACTTATTACTTCCCAATTCCTTCCCCTAGGCCCAAATAATGGTGAAGTGTCATGTAGTCGACGTTCACATAACACCACTAGAGGAAAGACATCATACATCTCATCAGAATATCGAACAAATACCAAATTCACATGACTACTTATAACAAGACTTCTCCCATGTCCTCAGAACAAACGTAACTACTCACAAATCATATTCATGTTCATAATCAGAGGGGTATTAATGTGCATAAAGGATATGAACATATGCTCTTCCACCGAATAAACCAACTAGCATCAAATACAAGGAGTAATCAACACTCCTAGCAACCCACAGGTACCAATCTGAGGTTTTGAGACAAAGATCGGATACAAGAGATGAACTAGGGTTTGAGAGGAGATGGTGCCGGTGAATATGTTTATGGAGATTGACCCCCTCTTGATGATAGGATCGATGGTGATGACGATGGCGACGATTTCCCCCTCCCAGAGGGATGTTTCCCCGGCAGAACAGCTCTGCCGGAGCCCTAGATTGGTTCCACCAAGGTTCCGCCTCGAGACGGTGGCGCTTCGTCCGGAAAGCTTCCTTATGATTTTTTTCCAGGGCAAAAGACACCATATATCAGAAGATAGGCATCGGAGGGCTTCTAGGTGGCCCACGAGGCAGGGGCATGCCCAGGGGGGTAGGGCGCGCCCCCACTCTCGTGGACAGTGGTTGGCCCCCCTCTGGTGCTTTCTTTGTCCAATATTTTTAATAAATTCCAAAACTGACTTTCGTGGAGTTTCAGGACTTTTGGAGTTGTGCAGAATAGGTCTCTTATATTTGCTCATTTCCCAGCCCAGAATTCCAGCTGCCGGCATTCTCCCTCTTCATGTAAACCTTGCAAAATAAGAGAGAAAAGGCATAAGTATTGTGACATAATGTGTAGTAACAGCCCATAATGCAATAAATATCGATATAAAAGCATGATGCAAAATGGACATATCAACTCCCCCAAGCTTAAACCTCGCTTGTCCTCAAGCGGAAGCCGATAACGAAAAATATGTCCACATTTTTAGAGATAGAGGTGTCGATAAAATGAAATACGGACATGAGGGCATCATGATCATTCTTAGAACAACAACATATATATATATTGTCATATGATTTTCTTATGCTAAAGTAACAATCTATTCACAACGTAAAGTATGAATCAGAAACTTCATTGAAAACTAGCAAACTATAATCTCAGCCATTGAAGCAATTGCAATTTATCATAACATCGGA